ATGTTCTTATAAGTTTCTCTAGGTTTTCACTTCATAATTTTTCTTGCAATTTATTTGTTAATGAAACTGGGTTATTTGTCCTGTTGAGTGCTCCACTGTCTGTTTTTATTATTGTATTTCTGTACTATAGATCTTTGAAAAATTGTCTCTGTTAATTGTGTTAATAATATACTTCCTATTATAACACTTATGGTTTTGGTTTGGTGACATATGACATACTACGTTTTCAAAATGTGTTCATTTTATTATTTATTTATTTATTGTTTTCTGAGACAGAGTCTTGCTCTGTCACCCAGGCTGGAGAGCAATGGTGGAATCTCAGCTCACTGCAACCTCCACCTCCCAGGTTCAGGCAATTCTCCTGCCTCAGCCTCCCAGGTAGCTGGGATTACAGACACATGCCACCAGGCCTGGCTAATTTTTGTGTTTTTAGTAGAGATGGGGTTTCACCATGTTAGCCAGGCTGGTCTTAATCTCCCGACCTCTTGTTCCGCCCTCCTTGGCCTCCCAAAATGCTGGGATTACAGGTATGAGCCATTGTGCCCAGCCTAGTTTTATTTTATTTTATTTATTTATTTATTTATTTATTTATATTGCATTTTATGTTTTGGGGTACATGTGAAGAACATGCAAGATTATTGCATAGGTACACACATGGCAGTTTGATTTGCTGCCTTCCTCCCCTTCATGTATATCTGACATTTCTCCAATGCTATCTCTCCCTACCTCCACACACCCCCGTCCCTCCCCCATTTCTTCCCAACAGACCCCAGTGTGTAGTGCTCCCCTCCCTGTGTCCATGTGTTCTCATTGTTCAACACCCACCTATGAGTGAGAATGTGGTGTTTGATTTTCTGCTCTTGTGTCAGTTTGCTGAGAATGATGGTTTCCAGTTTCATCCATGTCCCTGCAAAGGGCACGAACTCATTGTTTTTGATGGCTGCATACTATTCCATGGTGTATATGTACCACATTTTCCCTGTCCAGTCTATCATTGATGGGCATTTGGGTTGGTTCCAGCTCTTTGCTATTGTAAACAGTGCTGCTATGAACATTCGTGTGCATATGTAAACAAACAGTCATTAGAGTGAATCGGCAACCAACAGAATGGGAAAAAATTTTTGCAGTCTACCCATCTGACATGGGGCTGATATCCAGAATTTACAAAGAACTAAAACAGATCTACAAGAAAAAAACAAACAAGCCCATTCAAAAGTGGGTGAAGGATATGAACAGACACATTACAAAAGAAGACATACAGGAGGCCAACAAACATATGAAAAAATGCTCATCGTCACTGGTCATTAGAGAAATGCAAATCAAAACTACATTGAGATACCATTTCACGCCAGTTCGAATGGCTTAGTTTTATTTTTAAGAGACAAGAGTAGGCAAATTTCCAATATCTATGACAATATTGGTACATTTGATTGAAGAGATTGCCTTGAAGAAATCTTGTGTTTATAAATATAAATGATTAAAGTTAAATTAAAATTTTTCATCGCATAAAAGGGTACAAAGCATAGTTGTGAAAGCTTGGAGATTTAATATGTGTGTAGAAGGTGATAAGATATTGCATAGACTTGTTGTAATTGAAAAATTTAAAGCAATACTTGAAAAATGGTTAGAATTTGATATAATAGACACAGGTAGGGAATATTTCCATAGGAGTTATATCATGAGTAAAGGCACAGAGAAATAGAAAAGTACGAGTGAAATAAAAACCCTCTTGTGTTTGTCCTGTGACAAAGATAGTAGAACATAAACATAGAAGCATAAGAGATAGCATGGGGAGAAATGACAGATACAGGTGAGGGGACGGAAGACAGCAAACCACTCTGCCATGTGTGTACCTATGCAATAATCTTGCATGTTCTTCACATGTACCCCAAAACCTAAAATGCAATAAAAAATTTTCAAAAAAAAAAGAGAATATTTTATCAGGCTGTGATAAGTGGGTCATGCTTGTACTCCTAGCACTTTAGGAGGTGAGGTGGGTAGATCATGAGGTCAGCAGTTTGATACCAGCCTAACCAACATGGCAGAACCCTGTCTCTACTAAAAATATAAAAATTAGCTGGGCGTGGTTGTGGGTGCCTGTAATCCCAGCTACTCAGGAGGCTGAGGTAGGAGAATTGCTTGAACCCAGGAGGTGGAGGTTGCAGTGAACCGAGATTCCACCATTGCTCTCCAGCCTGGGTGACAGAGCAACACTCTGTCTCGAAACAAACAACAAAAAAAGAATACCTTATAGAGATTCTCGAATATCAAAATATACTTTGAATCTTCACTAATTTGCTGCATGCTTTTGAAAATTTATTGTTATGTCTTTGGCCTTTGCTTCCTTCACCTGTAATTTCACTTCTCCATTTGAGACAAACAATAACAAGACACAAGCCTAGATACATTCATTTCAATTATTATATTCAATTCTAAAGAATTAAGTAGATTAGCAATACAATATTTGAATTTCTCTAGGTCAGAGGTATTGTGGGAAATATTAAAGGCTTGAGTTAGAGAGATAAACATGGGAATTGATGGAAAATATAGGTACAAATGGAGTTGTAGAGGTTGAATTAGCATGACTAGGTATTGATTTCTCCTCTGTAATAATTGAAAGGGAATGGAAAGAGTCAGCTATTGAGATTTTCAGGCTACATTATTAAGAAAATTGTGGTCCTATAGATAGAAATGGAGAAATTTAAGGAAGGAGCTTATTGAGATCTGGGGAATTAAAAAAAATGGAGAGTTTGATGTGGTGAGCTTGAAGCTCATGTAAATGGACAAATCTTTCATTCAGTTGGTATTGGTGGATGGGAATATGAACAGAAGTTAATTTTGGGGGTAGAATTTTAGTTTAAATCTTAGTAGAAAATAAATTACTAAGTAAACAATGCATGAAAGTATTTAAGGAATGAGGACATACTCTTGAAGGAAAAATACCATGCCTTTAAGAGATGGAGAAATGAGGACCCCATAAAGGAAAGAGAAAAGGGGACAAAAATGATGGTTAACTAATTGGGTCAGCTAACTGGAATGCCAGTCTATGAATAGGAGAGGCTCAAAGAGGCACAGGGACCAACATGGTCAAACACGAAGACTTTAGAACACAGTGAGCCTTGAAGAAAACACTGTGTCCTGCAAGATAACAGCTTTACCAGTGGAAGAAAGTAGGACAGAAACCGCCTTTTAAGGAGATTACGACGAGAGGGTTTGGTGTAAGAATGCAGGTAACAGTAGAGTATTCTTACATAATAAATCAAACAACACACATGGACCATAAGATGAAACTGATTTTGGCCAAATCATTCAACCTTTCTGGACTTTGTTGTTTTTCTAGTTCTATTCTAAGAATTCTATTATGGTGCTTCTTTAAAATAATGATGAGTGGGGGTACCAATAAGGTGGCTTCAACTCCCTGAAAAAAAAAATACATTGTTTCATTGTCATCTCTTTTAATATTATTTGTGTTCAATTTGGAGAAAATAGGGTAGACATAGTAGTTAACAGATAGGTCTCTTACTCTTGAATTGACAAGTAGACTGAGAAGTTCACAGAAGTTTTTTCTTCATTTTGGATGTTTTTGTTATTTAATTTAATGTGATTTCACCAAACTGAGACAGTTTGTTTTATTTCTAATGTGGTCTCTGATATTACTGTTATTGAGGTGGTTTAGCCGGTTGTGGCAGTTGTTTCGGTGCCCAGTGTAATTAGAATAAAAAATGCATTATGCACAAATAATATATCACATGCCTAATGTGCTCTGTGAATCTGAAGAAGCTCCGTGTACATGAGGATATATTCCCCTCAAGCCAGGCAATTTTAAGGACCTGCAAGCTCCTACCCCAGACTAGCTCAGTGCATTAAAAGTTAATTTAGTGAACACATCATATCCTAAGAAATCCTTTCCTTGACTAAAATACCCTCTACTTGGCAGAGAAGCAATTGGATCAAACGCAGCAGGGCTCCAAGTGATCCCACCCTGGTTCCAACATCCCCATGTTGTTCTTGTTTCCTTGGAGGCCTTGAAAACTGTACGTGCACAGCAACTGGGTTCATGTAGAGCCAACACAATTCATCTGGGAAGTGCTTCTGCACTCAGGCATCAACCCATGACCATCACAGGGTGTGTGAACATGTCCTAAGTTTATCAGGTCTGGCTATATCCTTCCAAACACTGATTCCAGAACTCTTCGGTAACTCAGAGATCAGTTGAACTTAATGTATAAATGTGCATTTTGTTTATAAAGTATTGCTCTTCAAACTTAAATTATGCTTTCTTCCGTGCCTTTAAACAAAGATTTTGATTTAAAAAATAATTAAGAAATGTAATTAAAGAATACCCAGAAATTGTCATCAGTATTTGTTGTTTGTTTATGAAGAACTTAAGCCCACTGTAATATCGATTTTTATATTGATCTTCCCTTAGACAAAACATGTTTTATTGTTTATTTCCTCGAAAAAAAAATCTAGTACTGGAGACAAGCAATAATTTATTAGACAGAAACCAGATTATTTAATCACTTGGCTTTCAAAATAATATTTAGATTGAAAAAAGCAAATTAGAAGAGTTTACTAAAGGAACTAGTGACTGTCATCTCAAACTCTTCTTTTTCATTTTAGACTTTTTAAGACAGTGATCTTTCATCATGCCAGTGAAACTTTAGTTTCCATGAAGTTTCACATTTACAGAGGTTGAGTTTTTTAATGAAATAATACTATTTTTAAAATATTAGTAATATTACACAGCCATAATTGTAAAGTCAGTGATAACACATTCTATGACAAGGTGTGCACTGCATTATTTCATAGCACATTCATAACCAAAGGTCATGTTGGACATATAACATTACCATAATTTTCTAATTATTTGTTCTTTATACATGTTTCTACGTGTTCCAATTGCATTTCATTAATTCATAGTTTTCTTGTAAGTTTGTGCTTTCTTTCCATGTTCAAAGAATCTCTTTAATTCAATTTCTCTGTTTCTCCTCATACAGTCTGGCAGCCAGATATGCAACTCAGTCTAATCACAGTGGAATTGCAACCAGTCAAAAAAAGCCTACTAGGTCAGTTAATATTCTCTAATTTATTGCTTGTTAGTGATATTCAAGTAAATACCCAGTGATATTTTGTCCTGTCTTTTTTTTTTTTTTTTTTTTTTTTTTTTTTAATGACACACATCTGAATGAGAAGTTTAGAGCACTAAGTTTTTCAGGAAGATTTTCATACATGGAAATGTATGAAAATTTTTGTGTTTGTGTTAGATAATTAAGTGTGTTTTGGCATCTTTTTAAGTTTCGTTATATGTAGTACTATGACTGGGCTGAAGCCTAGGTTCTAGGCTTAGAATAAATCAGGAAAACCATTACTTTGAATGCCCAGTTCTTTCCAAGTCACATAATCTGGAATTTATACAACAAAATTGTAATTGTTTTTCGAGATGGAATACATTAATTATTGCACATTTTAATGGAGAATTGAGAAACATTGGTAGATTTTAGTGGGGCAGTTAGTACCAGGTCAGTCTGGACAGTTCTTCTATCTGCAATAGTTTATTTTTTTCCTTCTTTATGACACATGTATAATAAAGACAGCCTGTTATAATAAATGACAGTGGATTATATACTGTTTGAAAAATCATGACCTATAAGAGTGTTTTGAAAGAGTTTGACTTTTTAAAAATGTTAAGTTGTTGAAGGCATGATGGTAGCATAGAACAGCTGAATAAAGCCACAGCAAAAGAGTTTTACCCCTCTGATTAGTTTGAGATTCTTTGTGTCATCTCACTCACTGGGGAAGTATCCAGCGGGGGTTTATTAGTTATTGTTCTATTGATAAATCGTATTATGCAAAGTTTGACTGCAAGGACTGCTTCTGATGCTTTGACTTGAGGTAGGTGCCTTTCTCCTTGCCTTGGCTTTGTAAATTATATTCATTTCCAGAGTAGACAAAATGATTCTGGAGAGACAAATTTTAAAAGGCAAATTTTAAGTATAATTAAAAGCTAGATAAATGATATAAATTGTGATAGATAAGGAAGAGTGGCCTGCCATACACAATGAGCATTTTTATTACACCTTCTAAGATTTAGGCATGTAAAATATTTTAAGTACTATATTTTAATAGAACTCTCTCTGTCTCTCTCTCTCTCTCCCTCTCTCTCTCTCTAACTCTCTCTCTCACTCGCTGTCTCTCTTGCTCTCTCTCTGCTCTCTGCTTCATTTCATTTCCCTTTTTATTACTTTGATTAATAATCTGAAGGCCTGCTCTGGCCGCCTGTCAAATTAGGGTAATGAGAAGAGCAAATGTACTTTTACATTTGTTTTAATTTGTTCTTCTGAGGACTCACGATCATTTGACTTCATGGGTTGCAGTGAAGATTAAAATGTATTTTAATTATTTTCTGGAAACAGGTCAGTTTGCACTATAAGCAGGGCAAGTTTTGTGATAAAATTTGTTTATATATGTGAGTTTGGGATGACCTTTTCTAAGTCTATGCCTATGTCTACAGGAATAGATCTCAGATTTGTGATGATTAGAACACTTGACCAAATTCATTAGCTGGTTCTTCTACAGAGTGCAATCACTGGTCCTTTAAGTTCCTAGCATCTGTGGTTATTGTGCTATATTTACAAACCCTTGTAAATTGACTTGAGCAAAAATTAAATGCTGGAATCATTTGGAAAAGAGTCTAATCTTTTATATGACACAATATCTAATTAGCAAACCAGCTAAAGGGACTTTTTTTTTTTTTTTTTTTTTTTTTTTTTTTTGAGACAGAGTCTGGCTCTGTTGCCCAGGGTCAAGTGCAGTGGCATGATCTCCGCTCACTGCAACCTCCACCTCCCAGGTTTAAGTGATTCTCCTGCCTCAATAGCTGGAATTACAAGCACCCGCTGACATGCCCGGCTAATTTTTGTATTTGTAGTAGATATGGGTTTTCACCATGTTGGCCAGGATGGTCTCGATCCCCTGACCTCATGATCTGCCCACTTCGACCTCCCAAAGTGCTGGGATTACAGGCATGAGCCATTGTGCCCAGCTGAGACTATTTATCAGCCAGATGTATTTAAAGTCTAAAATATAATTCACATTTTGAGGCTATTAACCTTTCCAAGAAATCAACACTTTTGTTTTTAAGTTGGTATTTGTTTTTCTTTCCTGTTAGTCACTCTATTTTATAATAATTTTTACTATTATAAAAGCACTTACATTTTTTAAAGGTGGTTTGAATTTCTAATATTCTGTGAAAATGGTATGATCAAGTAGTATTTTAAGGTAAGTTAATTTTGAGCATATAACAACTGGATTGTGAAATTTTGATATATTGGATACTAATATGAGAGACATTAATAATCTTTGCTTAAAGATTTTATAAAAGATGATTATAAAATAAGTGCTATATTTGTGGATTTTGAATTCTTATTTCTCTTTTCAAGTAAAAATTTTCAGAGTAGTACACAGTGACATTCACATGGTGGCAGCAAATACTAAACAAAACTTTCAACATCATATTTTCTAAATAGATCTTAGAATGTCAATATTAGTTCTTGGCTGGGTGTGGTGGCTCATGCTTGCAATCTCAGTACTTTGGGAGGCCAAGACAGGTGGATCACTTGAGATCAGGAGTTTGAGACCAGCCTGATCAATATGCAGAAACCCCATCTCTACCAAAAAACAAAATTTAGCTGGGTGTGGTAGTGTATACCTATAGTCCCAGCTACTCTAGAGGCTGAGGCAGGATAATTGCTTGAACCCGGGAGGTGGAGGTTGCAGTGAGCCGAAATCATGCCACTGCAGTTCAGCCTGGGTGACAGAGTGAGACCCTATTTAAAAAAAAAAAAAAAAAAGAAAAAGAAAAAAAAGATGTCAATATTGGTTTTAATTTCTAATTTTTAATTTATAGATTAAGTGTACCTATATAATATATATTAGCATTATAAAATCAAAATCTAATAATTGCACATTTTTGTCACAATACATGACATAATTGATCACTGAAATTTTAATGTGGAAATTGCTTAACAGTGAAATGAATGATCCAAACTGTTGTTTAATTATAGTTCCTATAAACTAACAGTAAGTTATAACCTCCGGTCAAACCACCTCTAATTATAAGATAGTCTGTTTATATTTCCTCGTATCCTATCCTTCATACACAAAGAGTACTTAAAGCTCTTGTCACTAGTGTAAGCATGTTTTAAATTATCATCCAGCTAACAGTGATTTTCTTCTGAGATCTGCATCCTTTCTTGTCATATCTCGTCTGTGATGAGTTGGCCAGACTTGTGAGATCACCAGCTAAGTCTGGATGCTTATTTCTGGCAAGTACATGAAAGACGTTTTTGTTTTTGTTTTCTGTTGCCCAGGTTGGAGTGCAGTGGCACAATTTCCGTTCACTGCAATCTCCACCTGCCAGATTCAAGCAATTCTCTTGCCTCTGCCTCTTGAGTAGCTGAGACTACAAGCGCCTGCTCCCACACCCAGCTAATTTTTCTATTTTTAGTAGAGACGGGGATTTTACCGTGTTAGGAAGGTCTCTATCTCCTGAACTCGTGATCCTCCCACCTCGGCCTCCTAAAGTGCTGGGATTATAGGTGTGAGCCACTGCGCCTGGCCAAAAGAGGTGGTTTTTTTTTTGTTGTTTGTTTTGTTTTGTTTTTTTTTTTTTTTTTGAGGCAGACCAGTCAAATATAACTTAACTCATGACCTGGGTGTTGGTACCATGTTTTCATTAGGGTAGGTAACTAACTTAGATATTCAGTGAGCATTAGCTATTCCCTCTTGTTCAGTAATGTCTTTTGTGATTAATATCCAAGCAAACCTACCACATAACTTCCTACAATAAAAACAAATGCCTTATACATTGAAAAGAACAACTTAACAACTGAAATAGATGATTAATATGCCGAGAACATAAAGCTAAGTGTTATTGTTTCCTTTACATTTTACAAAATTGTTACAGTAATTTTAAGGCAAATTTTATTCATCAGGGATGGGGTGAGTATGACTTTTTTAGTTAAGGTTTATTTTAATTATTCTACATTATTACAATTTTGGTGGCACATGTTTATTGAAAAGCGAACAAAATTTTTCTGAAGATCTCCAACATAGTGCTTAGCTACTTGTCACTTCTATCGCCTTTTTCCGTTAAATAGATTTTAGAACATTATATATTGTGAATTTCTGACTTATGTGTCCCTACTCAGTACCTCCTGCTCCTTACCTTTTTGTAATGTAATTTACATTTTTTTGGTAATGTAATTTGTAAAATAATGATGTAATTTTTCTTATACTATTTCAGGCTTCCAGGGCCCTCTAGGGTACCTGCTGCAGGCAGTAGCAGCAAAGGCCAGGGAGCCTCTAATTTAAACAGAAGAAGTCAGAGCTTTAACAGCATTGACAAAAACAAGCCTCCAAATTATGCAAATGGAAACGAAAAAGGTAAGTGTTTGTTACGTCATTATGACACAAGTCTAACATGAGTCTTGTGAATTACATGCTAAGTCTAATATCTAAGCAGGGTAACAGCTTTGGGCCTAGAGGTGTTAGCAGTGGAGTTTCTTTGTTTCTCACCCGCCCCCTCCTGACTGCCAGCTTGCTTATCTGAAGAACATTTTAAACAAATATACTCATTTGTTTTAAAGTAGTTATATATGCAACTGTAAAAACTGTTTCTCAAAAACAGGTCCTTCCAAATGCATGTAAATCACATTTTCTTATGCCTTTTTATGTTTTTGAAAATGTATCCTGAAATCATAAGGCTACACTGAATTTATCTGAATCCTTAGCTTCAGTTAAGGTAAGAGCTGTAAGTGTTTTTTGGCAGTTAAGGTTGGAACATCAAAAGTGGAAACATAATTATGGTAGGTTTTTATCTTTGCAAGCAGCAGATCCCAGAGATACTGTAAGTTTTCATATGTAAAAAGGTAAATTATTCATATTTGTTTTCTTTTCTTGAAATAGTGCATAACACAAATATCAAATCACAAAATCAAGAACATTAAGTGAGAGTGTGTGATATCATAAATGAACTGTATACCACGTAGTCCTCTGTGATGTGCAAAGTGGGCATTTAAACAGGTGCTGATCTGATGCTTGTCACCGAGTATCAGCGAGGACGGGCAAAGTGTGTGTAATTTACACCTCAGTCATGAGGAAATCAAGAACTTTTGCTGTTATAAGTAGTATGGCTGTGTGAGGAACTAGGGTCTTCTGCTGGATTATAAGGAAATATTTTCGGATCAAAAGAACTTCAGACTTTTCTTCAGAGTGTTGGGCTCTGCAAGGAAAAACACATGAAATTAAAAAGTGGCACAAATGTTTAGTTTGCAGAACATTTGGCAAATTGGGATTGAATAATTCAACCATGTGGGAACATTTTTGCTCAAAATAGATAATTGCAAATTGTTTCATATAGGCAAATGATTAGACAACTTCCTCTTATTCAAATGTGAATGGACAGATGTGATTTAGAAGTTAGTAACACACTGTTATGTGAGAATGTTCCCCTCTGCCTAAACCAAAGTGGACAGACTTTAAACTTCTGAGAGCAGAGGAGTGTGTGTTAAGATTGCAATATCCTGAGCTCTTGAGTTAAATGGAAAATGAAAAACAAAAGTGTATGTTTGGAAGTTAGAAATGTTGTCTTTAAAATGATGTTTTAGATTTAAGATCACAAGAAATATTACTGAAGACTGATACTCCTCCTGAGGCTAAGAGAGATGACAGTCCCTCATATAAAAAAAAAAAAAAAAAAAAAAAAAAAAGAGCCAAATGCCCTCATTTCCTGACTTTTCTGGAAAGTAGTATAAAAATTCAGGCTACTATATCCTGTATTTGCTGGAAATTTCTAGGGTAAGCTAATTGGCTTAGAAATAAAGATGTGTTAATTGGACAGCCAAAGTATCTGATTAAGCAATACCATACACCATTATTAATATTCTTGCAAGAAATTACTAATAATGTTTGTGAAGAGACTTAGAAATGCATTAGATGAACTTACACTTTTATATCATCATTTATCTGCACCTTTCTGTACTGTGAAAGTACTTTCCTTAACTTATTTCTGGCATCTGAAAGTAAAAATCCGATGATAGACAAGTATTAATATTTTTCCGTGGCCACTCAATTCATACATGCCTTCCCGACCTGTGCTTAGAAACTAGTGCAAAATTAGAAAATAGCAATATTGATAATCACCACAAGGTGGAGACAGATACCATGTAATATGCAGTCTGCTCATGTAAAGCACATTTCCTTAGAGCTTTTATATGATATAATAAAGACATCTAAAATTTGTCTTACATGCAATATGAAAATTGCTATTAAATGTGGAGTTAAAACTTTATGTCAGTGCATTCAATACCAATGTTTGTCAATTACTCCTTATATCATGTTGTATTTCTAAAATATTATCTTAAATTATAAGAGCAAACTAGGTAATAACATGTTACATATAAAACAATTTATAATTTATTCTGTATTCAAATGGTACATCTTTTGATATGCAGATCTCTAGTTCTAAAATAATTTTTATAAAAGTATACAAATCCATCTTCTGATGAGTTGATCTCTATCACAAACTAGTTTGCATATATAACTTGGATGTGACCAAGCAAGATGAAATTTAAGAACTTTTAATAGTTATGGGATTATGCTGATAGAATTCAGAAGGCACTAACTTGAATATTCTTATTCTTATTGCTTTTTCCTTTTCAGTTATTAAAAATCAGAATATTAAAATTAATAATTTAAGTTATTTTATTTGCAGGATTAACCAGATTATCTGTGATGTGTTCCCCAAATGCTTTTAAGTGGAAATATACTTTATACATTCTTTAACAAGTCTGAGGTCATGAGTTACATAAATTGATTCAGGAATCTATAGAATCTGTAATACGTAGTAAAGATTTATTCATAATTAAAACAATTTCACTTCTATATTAAAAAAACAAATTGTTGAAGCACAGTGGCTTTTCATATGTGTGATTTGTAAAACAAATTAGCTTTTGTAAAGTGATATGACACTTAATGAAATCAGTAGAGAATTACAAACTGCACTTCAAAAGATACATCTAATATTTTAATAATAATGACGTTTGAAAAAATAGTGTACTCATTTACAATTTCATTAAATGAATTAAAATATCAGTGCATATTATAGTCGGTTATCACTGGCAGAGAGGGCTGAAATAGAAATTTACAATGGAATGCAATGCCATCTGAGCATTCTGCTGAAGTGACACGTGGAAACAAATTTTTTAGCAGAAGTGGGGAAACAGAGACAGCATCATTTGTAAAGCATATCTTTTGAGGGTCCTTCACTTTCTTCTCCTGATGACCTGCCATTCAGAAATTGACAATGAATAATACACTCTGACACCAGCATTTGTCAATTTGCCCAGCAATGTATGAGAGTAGTCTAGACAGATATATGTTCTGAAGAAAACCAAATACCTATTAACTGGAAATCAAATCTTGTAGAAACTATGCCATGGTTCATTTGAACATATAATTTGCATGCCTGAAGCAAGTTACCTTAAGAAATTATTCTCGTTTCATAAAATTTATATTAACAAATCTAAAAATGCAAAATACCTTCATATTATTATGAATTTATCCATAACTTTATTTGGTATCCAGTTTCTGAATTGTGATCTATAAACATCAGTCATTTGATGGAGTTCCTTAGTGGAGAGGTGTTTTAACATGTTGCTAAGAAACATGTCCCAGCACCAGACAGGATACTACCTACCATCTTTTTTGCCATTTCTCACATGTGATTCTTATATTGTACCCATTTACTCACTGAACAGGGCTCCTTTCTCTTTGTCTAGATTCTAATCAAGTATCTCCTGGTGTGAGAGCTTTTGCTTTTATTTACACACAGTATTAATAAGATAGATGCCAAGGATTTAGCCACATTTTAATTCAATATTATACAGCTATCAGAGTTAATGAGAATTAATATTATATCAGAATTAATATTATATCAATATTATATCAGAGTTAATGAGAATTATATATTAGTTATTAAATTTGGGCAGTTTATTCCACTAAAACATGGATGTCTGGCTCTTAAACACTTTTTTTAATTACTCAGAAATTACAATAAAGTCAAAGAACTGAACTGTTTTCAAGCCAATGCAAATGTGCTTTAGTTATTATATTGCTTTACTGGTGATTTAATTATGCTTTATTAATTTTTATATAAGCCTAAAATACATTGTCAGTGCCATAATTTCAGGGATCTTAGGGTTCTTTCCATGAGTTACCATATCTAGGTGCATATATATAAATACATGCATATATATAAATACATATATATAAATACATAAATCTATCTGTATCCATGTATATATCAAGTGATAAGACTAAATATACTTGGGCATATGTGTTGTTTGTTTATGCATACATGCACACGTATTGAGGTTTCCACAAAGTGTATATGCCTGTACATAAATTACATACTGGCTGGTGGGTGAAAGTAAGCTTTTTTAAATTACACAACTCTCCACAGAGCGGCAGTCTAATATTGCAAATGGTACAATATAAGCATGTACAGAATGAACAGCTCCTCCAGGATCCCTATAAAACACCATCCCATGTTTCTGTCGAATCACTATCAAATTGATGACTGAGGCCATACACAAGCGATTATTTATGCAAAGCAGTGCGGTGAGTTGCATGAGGAGCCACTTAATACCAAGACATATTTAGATTTGAATGCCAATCTTCTTCAACTTAATTTTTTTTAAGTATTTTGGTATGTTATTGCCAAATTAAAGTCTAAATTATTTATTGAAATAAGTGGCATAGCCACATTGCTTAATTATTTTCCTCTTCTCACCATGATCTGTAATGCTTAAAGTATCCTATATTCAGCAGGGATCATCTATATCACTGAAAACAATGCCTGCCATGCAGGAAATACTTTAAAAACTAATAGTGGCCGGGCGCGGTGCCTCACGCCTGTAATCCCAGCACTTCGGGAGGCCAAGGCGGACGGATCACAAGGTCAAGAGATCGGAGACCATCCTGGTCAACATGGTGAAACCCCATCTCTCCTAAAAATACAAAAAATTAGCTGGGCATGGTGGCACGTGCCTGTAATCCCAGCTATTCGGGAGGCTGAGGCAGGAGAATTGCTTGAACCTGGGAGGCGGAGGTTGCAGTGAGCCGAGGTTGCGCCTCTGGACTCCAGCTTGGCACCTGGTGATGGAGTGATACTGTCTCAAAAAAACAAAACAAAACAAAACAAAACAAAAAAATGGTGCTTTTGTCATCATGTTTGTTGTCACTTCATGTATTTCAGAGATGAAAGCTAGTTTGCTTATCAAAGCAACATACTAGTCAGTGAGGAAAAAGAGATAAGCAGATTAAGAACCATTTCTATGTCCTTTCTCAAACGAATAGCACTCTTGGTAATGTGGTGCTAACTC